GATCGCGTTTTATAAAAAAACAATCGAAATTCGCGAAAAATCTTCATCTTCAGATGATCTCGAATTAGCAACCAATTATAATAACATTGCTGTCGCTTATAGTTCAATGGATGATGAATCAAACGCTCTTCTATTTTATCAAAAGGCGCTCGCAATTCGACAAAGGAAGTTTCCAATCGATGATCCATCTTTGGTGACAATATATACCAGTATTGCATCTCTACATTATTCGATGAAAGATTACTCAAATGCTATCGCATTTTATAAGAAAGTAATCGAAATTTGCGAAAAATCTTCATCTTCAGATGATCTCAATCTAGCGACCAACTATAACAATATTGCTGTCGCTTATAAATCAATTGAAGACTTAACAAATGCTCTGGTATTTTACGAAAAGGCACTTGCGATTCGAGTTCAAAGGCTTCCATCGACTGATCCATTACTGGCCCCACTTTATAGTAGTATTGGCTCGATACATTCATCGAACGGCAACAAAGCGGCTTCAGTTGAATTTTATGAAAAATCACTTAAAATTCAAGAAACATTACCATCACCTAATTATTCGTCCATGTCAGTGATGTATTATAATACAGCAATAGCTTATGATGACCTTCAAAACCATGAGGTGGCTCTCAAATATGCCGAACGTTCTGTCGAAACTGCTCGCTTAGCTTTTGGTCCTGACCATTCGGAAGTGAAAGAAAATCAAATGCTGGTGGATAGACTTCGTAATAAACAATGATTGAGATCTTTTCATACGGAATGAGAAGAATCTCTTCTTACATTTTGCTTTTATTGATAAAAAAAAAAGATTGTCCCACTAATATATCGAACAGTTTAATAAAGTTTTAGACATTCTTTGACCTTGTTGCTGTATATAAATATGCATCCGGCTTTTACTGTTCTGGAGATAGTTAGGTCTCCTCTTCCCCAGCAGAGGTTAATGTAACTTAGTCTATCTGAAATATTTTTTAACTAAAGGATTCAGGAAACTACTGAGCAGAATAACAAGGATGACGATTACCGAAGAAAAATGACACCTGAAAACTAACTGTGCAACGAAAAAAGTTAAAGTTAAGAATCATTTTTCCGTCTTTGAAATGAAGGCTTTGGGTGATATCAGAAACTAACCTGTTTATCGCCCACAATCGTGGTGTGGATGTATGGGTTGACACGTATGAAAGTACTATTTAAGTGATAGGAATCATCAGCATTGGTGTCTCATCATTTTGAATGACGATACTATAGTGAAGGATAATATCGTGGCCAGTCATGTGAGTGAGCCTTTTTTTGAAAAACAAATTCCTACACAGAAAATATCAACTTATGAGTAAATACAAGTCTCAAGTCAACCGAACTATAATGATCTTAAACAATCGCGGGATTTCGCTTCCGTTTATTCAAATCATGTTTAGATTTTTTATTTGCCTTAAAGATATAATATGGACTACATTTGTAGTGAAATAATACAAGACATCACTTGTAACCTTAACTTTCTATTTATTTTGAAAGGCAAACAATAGCTGCTAGAAATGGAAAAGAGCAAAATATAATATAAACTTATCTGAAAACAAAGAAAAATTATATAAAATGTATTGATAAAGATAAAGTTGAATAAGGTATCAATAAATGTCTTCATATGCATGAGAGATGGGATAGGTTCGTGTTTTTTCGGAACCGAACCGACGTTATTTTTAAAACTGAATTCTCCAACTTTGGAAATGGAAAATAACAGCACTTTTGGTTATGGCACAAAAATAGACTTTTTTTTACACCAAAACCAATATGTAGCAGTCTTTTATTGATACTTTTCGAAACTCTCATTTTTATTTGCTTCAGATCATTCATGTCTTTTACTATGACTTCATAAACACTTGCTCTGAGAAACTTATAAAAAAAAAGCAAAAATCTAGTTTTAACGGCAGAAGAGCTATAAAATAATGTAGCTTAGCCGTTTTTATAGTCATCAAAGTCTTTGAACAACTATAAATAAACTGCTTTGAAGGAATGCACACAGAATTCGTCTGTTTTTAAACAAATAAAACAAACAATTACAACGCAACTATGTAAGATCTAGATGATATGAGTTAAATATTAATAAAAAAAAATAGACTTTATGTCGAAGAAAACAGCACATTAGGTTTTCGGTATAGAAGAAAAAGACTACTTTTGTATTGTAGTCTTTAAATGAGATTACTTCGACTTCTTGCTTGATTCAAAAACGGAACGTATGATTTCTAACTTAAACCAATTTCATTCCCATTTTTTTCTCCTTGGAATGGAAGTTGGAATTGGTTATAGCTGATTGGAGTTGTAGATGGCATGGGCGGGGGTTGACTTAGAATTGGAGTTGGAATTTATTGAAATTTATCATGAAAAAAGTTGGCATCAAATTATTAAATCATAAAAATGTGAAAAATTAGTAATTCTTAAATAACTATTTCGACCGATTCCTATTCGGGTTCTGGTTAATTTTAGGAATTGGTACATTCCTAAACCGAACCGAACTGATTCCATCTCTGATATACATATAATACATTCAAGTATATAATTCTGGATGTGTGTGCCTCAAGAGATGTCTTATATAGCTGATGGTGACCGTACTAAAATTAAAATTAAAATTAAACAAAAAACAAAGGTCGAAAGCTCCTATTTTAGAAGATTATATTAAACGGTAAAATTATCTTTCTTTATTAAAATATTGTTATTATTATTGTTCAAGTTTTTCTATTGAAAGTTATAAATTTTGTTTTTTTTGATATTTAGTGGCGTCTACCACATGTACAAGGAACAGTTGTACTTGCTTCCAAATTCAACTGTTCAGCGATGACACTCAGCCGCTGTGGTTCGTTTTTCACGTCGCTTTCACACTTGTTGTCTGCTTCGCATCTCAACGGCGTCTGCTCGAATTTTAGCTGATCCATAATCTCATCGAGGCCTTTTTCCATGAGGATCTTCACATATGCTCGAATAACGTTGCTCTCTGCAACGCTAAAGTTACCATCTCTACTGCTGCGCGTACCACCCATGGAAAAACCATCGTTGAGAAGTCGTTGGAATACATACTTGAACTGAGTAGCACAGTAGTGAATCATACCGTTAAAAATGCAATTTAGGTGCCGATAGCCATCACTGTTAACAGTAGCTTTCTTCATAATCTCTTGGAATGTAATGTAGACATAGTGATTCATATTGTCTTCGTTGAGCTCGATAGGTGGATTCGATTTCAAAATGGCTAGATACTCGTNAGAAGGTAAAGATTATATTGCTTAAGTAAATTGATTAAAGGGAGGCTCATACATAACGACCCCATTTTTATTTTTCCTTATCTTTGCCATAATTCAAGAAGAATGGTCATTGAAGATATAGTTTTCAAGAATAGCATGTAAGCCTTCATTTAAGGAGAATGGTACTTAATTTACAGCAGTTTTAAGACTTTTCAGTATGTTTTGAATATTTCTCTCAACTTTTGATACTTTGAGTTGGATTTTTTTCCCAAAATATAGCCTATGAAATTCTCCACAAAATGCATTATGCTAAAAAAGGACCATCCTGGATCATAATTATGCATGTGCTATAATCTGTTTTTATACATATCTTTTATAGTAAAAAAGACAATTTGATTTTCATTTTTGCACAGAAAAATTTCTGTTCTGACACAATGGGACACAGATATACCGATCTCATCCCAATTTGAAACTTGTTTCATTGCTTCTTGATGAGTTTTTGGCAGTAAAAAAATTAGAGGAATAAGCTGGGTACGATGTGAAAAGTTATAGACAAAATAACATATAGTACTATTGCTGATAATAACTTCATCGCTCTTAGCCGTGTTAGTTTTCCAAGACGTCTGTAAATGTTCTGTATATATTTTTTTCCATTCATGAAGATTTTTGATGGTGCTAAAAAAATTTTTAAATCTTGAGAAAATACAATAACAGTGCATCTTAAAAATATGTCTAGTGTGACAATATAGAGCATAAAAATGCGATTATTTATTTATCATTTTTCTTGACCTTTTTTTGATCAAGTTTAAAAGCATTGTTCATGGAACGTTTTGCAACAAAATCGGGTCCTCTTTTTGGAAAATATTCATGAAATCGATCTATAGAACCTTTAGGATGTTTTAATATCCACTTGAATGATGAAAAGAGATTTTTTTTTGGCAATAAAACGTTCGTCAAATAGATCGTATATGATGATGGTGAATCTTTGTGAACATAATCAACTTGAAATAATGTCCATGGTAATACTAAAACTTCATGTTCATCTTCAAATTCGGATAGACACGGTTGTATGTCAGATATTCGACTTAAGTTTATTGCTTGATCACATTCTACAGGAAAATTGAATATGAATAGAACACGGTTTTTTCGAATATTGTCAGGAGTTTGAATTACTGTATCTGCAAAATCTTCAGCAATAGAGCGATTTTGAGAAGTTGAAGAAAAATGTTTAGTTTGCAAAAGACTTCCACGATTATGAACGCCCCATTCATATGCTGCAATTTCATCATCAGTCATTTTTACACCACGATACGATAGTCCTTTGAAATATCGATCTTTTAATGTTTGTAATTTTATATACAAAGGTAATGCTAATGGCATTGGATTTTGTCTTAGAGCTGAATAAAATTTTGTTTCCAATGTATACAAACGTATCAGATATTTAATATGATCATCAGAATTATCCGTTAAAAATTTATTTAATAATTCATTTGCTATAGATGATTGTGGATCTTGGTTAGCTATGAGTTGTTGATCAATTATATCTTGAAGTCGAATAGCAATACCATTCAATGACATTGGTGTGTCATTATTGAATTTTTCAGCAACAAATCTTCCAAGTTTTGATTGACACATAGCTATTGATGTAGTAGCATAACCTATTTCAAGTTTTTTTTCAGCTTTTGTTTTGTAAGTTTGAATCGATGACAACTTTTTTGCTTCGGACGATAATGTCGTAATGGAAGCAACTGTTTCTCTTTTCTACAAAAAAAAGACGCAATTGGATTTTTATAACAGATTCATATAAAGAAATAGGAACAAGTGTGTTGTGTTCATTGATATTAGCAACGAAAAATTAATCCTTCTACAGCAAGCTTCTGAACTCGAATATTTTACTCAATCTTCTAATCGTATTGACTTTATCAAGACTTACATCTTCTTTGGGTCGTCGTACAACATCGAAACAATCATCTATACAGTCATCTTGAAAACGTTTACTACAATCGAGAATTTGTGATCGTTTAAATAATTGTCGAATGTCATCATTGGCAGCTTCTTCATAAGCCGTTAAGCCATGTCGGTTTATTTTTGATCGATCACATCCATTTTCTAACAATAGTTTAACTATTTCTTTGTGACCATAGTAACAAGCGGCATGCAATGGTGTACTATTAATATTTGGTTCCAAAGGATTTATATCATCTTTCGCTTCTTTGAGAGTCAACAAATACTTTTTAACAAGATCTACATCACCATTTCGACATGCAAGATAGATTTTACTGGTTTGAGATGGTTGTTTGGTACTTGAAATAGAATCCATTCGATAATATTCCTAAAATAAATCGAATTAGATTTGAAAATTTAATGAGATATTAACAAGAAAAAAAACATCGCTAATTCTGAAAAAAAATTTTATGATATATATATTAGGTCATATATATTGTATCGTACAAGTTGATTCGATGACATTATCTTAATGATATGAGTATGATTCATTGAATGAAGTTTCAGCACGAAATCAGATCGATTCTCGAAATATCAAAAAGTTTATTTGACGTCGCTTAAAATCAAGACATAATTTTCTAGTATTTCTTCACAATGTTTTCACAATTATTACTTGTGCGTTTGGATAGTCACGGATGAATAAATAATTTCATAATTTAGTTTCTTCTGTCTTTCACGTGCTTTGCTCTCTGTCACTTACGAAAAATTAAGGTATTGCATTTCTTTATCTTTTTCTACCAATAGTAGAACAGAGTAAATTATTTTTTTTTCTGTTTCATCTCAATATGTTGACTCATGATTTACTTCTTATTGCTCTGTATACGTACTCAAATTTTTGCATGTCTTAGTCATAAGGGCGAATCAAGAGTATTTGAGTTTTATACATTGGCATTTTCGTTTTAGATAAACGCCTAAAAGAACGTATCCTCTTATTTGTCATCTTACAATCGAAATTCAAAATCAGTTAAATTCAATGTCAGTTGTTTTTTTAGATTTTATTTATTCAAATTTAAAATAATCTTAGGTCTAAATTTTCAGTTTTCAAATTTCCAAAAGTTACTAATAACAATTTTAATACAACTTAAACATTCAGTTATATTTTTAAACTTGCTATAATTTATACAGTTCGCTAAAACATAGTACTGCTTTTTTTTATTCTTAATTCACTACAATTTATACAGTTCATCAGACATAATTGTTACTATGAATGTCATCAGCTGTATTTGATTTTGAACAGATCATATAATAATGATTGTAAAATGGAATCAAACATTGAATGGGGATAACTGATTGTGATGCAAAAGCATTTATACACAAAAATCAAACGTACAAAAAATAATGTTCTAAAAGATACGACTTAAAAATATAGATGTTAAATGAGCGTCTTCTCTTAACGAACATAATTTAATCCGCTCACACCACATTCGAAACAAATATCAAATCATTACAAAAAATAATGATGCAGTCAAGGGGGAACAAACTGATTTCAAGCACAGAAATCAAATTGAAATCAATAGAAATCACAGAAATCAATAGAAATCAACAGAAATCATGTGAAATCATGTGAAATCAATAGAAATCAATAGAAATCAACAGAAATCATGTGAAATCATGTGAAATCAATAGAAATCAATAGAAATCACAGAAATCATGTGAAATCAACGGAAAACTAATAACAATAAATGCGGATGATTTTATATCAATTTCACAGAATTTTCAATAAGTAATCCGAGAAAAGCAAGTGTATCACCTTTTAACACAGTTTCTGCAGATTTAATTGCAAGAACACGTAAAAAAAGATCTGATGGCTTCTCTATTAGGTGAATAAATAAGCTTTGTTATTATATATTTATTACTATGTAGATCAGATAATTCATTCATTAAATGATGTTGAGAGAACGTTAGACAAGCCAGACGTTACTATATATTGTCCGTTCATTTTCCACTTCTATATCTAGGGCTTAATTGTTTATCGCATTGCACGTGCTCCTTTCTTTTTTCACTGAACACACAGACATTTACATAGTTGGTCATTTCTATTTTCGTCGGTCTGAACGAACATATCTTTTTAGCTATCGATTTTCTTTTTGGCTGTTATTTTCGTTGACCTATTTGATTATGTTGAACAAAAATATTGATATACCACAAAACGTCATGGAATTAGAAAATGGCCAATTTTTCGATTTCGTTAAACAATGTTCAGGAGAAAAAGTGGCTTTGCTTCTCAAGTTTCAAGATATTAGCAATGTAGATTGTTTTCTTGGCTGCAATGATCCTTTCGAAATTTTATCATTTGACTCAAACGATTTACTTGATTTAAAAAAAGAAATATGTGTGAAATTGAACAACAATTCGTATGTCATATTACCTGGTGTAAAGTGTAAGGTGAATCTGTTAAAAAATGCATTAGTGAAGTTATCCAATCAATTAAAGAGAACTTCGAAAACATCATCAAATACTGTTATAAGAAACAGTCCATCGACAACTGACTTGATAGTTAATAATTGCAATAATTCAGCAAACATGCTTTCTGTTATATCAATCGCCACTTCTGCATCACCAAACAATAATTTAACACCTGAAGAAAAAATCAAGAAACAAATAATTGAATCACTAAACGATTGGTGCCAGAAAATAAAAGAGAACAATGATCAAAAAATGTTTCAACTGAAAGAAAATGTCGATTATGAAATTTTTATTGATATTATTGGAAAGAAAGTATTGGTTAAATGTCAATGTGGCAAGACTACAACGTTAGGTCAAAAAGATAATACCTATATTGTAAGTAATCTGTTTTCAAAGATTAGATTACTTTTCCAAAAGCTGGACAGGTTCAAAGTGCATGTCAAATATTAGTCTTGTTGAGTTTCACAAAGAATTTTAGCTTAAGTATTGAATTATTTTAGTCGTTCATTTCTAAATAAGTTCGACATAATGAAATAATACTTAATGTGATTGGTTATTTAGAATAAGTTCCCCAATTAGGTTTTTTTTAACGGGTCAACATACTTTTTCCAGAGCGATTAATTCAATAAAACGTGTAAAGTATTTAGGGATATTGTGAGATGAAAACAACATTTATTTGAGTATATTTTCATTATGTTGACATATCAATTCTTAACAATAGCAATTAATGTCAACGATATAAAAACTATCAAATTTAGCTACTAGCATTGTTTCATTACTGGTAAATTATTGTATGATCTGAAGAGCTGTAAATCGACACTCAAGATAAGTAATAAAGCGTACAATCATTAATAAACTGTGCGATTACACACAAGTGATACCTTTTTCATGTTTTCCAAACAGTTAATTATGATATTGTTGATTCATTCTTGATTGTCGATGAAAAAATTTTGTATTTCTATATATAATACGAACTAGTCTACATATTAGATCACCTTATAGCCAGATTAGATTGTTCGTATCACTGATTAAATGAATACTTTTTTTTATTCAGTCTAACCATTTAGCTTGACGATTTCTGTTGAATGCCAATAAAACCTAGATGCTGATATTCTTCTGTTAATAAATGTAAACATATATCCGATCCCATAGTATTAAGAGCACTTTCAGTAGTCAATTAGTTTGTTCCCGTAATTCAAAACGATGCATATCGATAAATTAACCGATTAGATCAAAATCATTAAGATACATATAGCTTTAATTAGGTTCAAAGTAAAATAAAACCAAATAATAAAAGTATACGAGTATGGTATTGGAAACAAAAAAATCCGTTTACAAAATTTTAACAATAAATAGAATTATATTTACCATGAACATTATCGTATTTCTTTTTGAACTTGATCGATATATTATTTTTGTTTATTTTAGCTATCAAATTTTTTTCGTCATTTAACACATCGAAATCCTTGTACAATGGTTCAAGAAAAGTTAGAATGTCTTAGCGAAAATAGTAGTGATCATGTTGCTTCTACATTTGATCGTATGAATGCATCTGTTGAGATGGCAATAGATCCAACATCTAATATTAATTCATCCATACAAACATCAACTGGAAAACGAAAAAGAAGCAAAATACTCAATCCATCTATGATCAAAAAGAAGAAGAAAACTTAGATACTTTTTAGTTAGAGCATTTTTTAAAATATTTTATTGTCTATGTGTACAAAAACTTTTTTATATTGTCTATGTGTATACTAAAACTTCTTTTTATATCGTTTTATTATAATGAAATCGTTGTAATGAGAACCTTTTTTTGAAATAAAATGAAAATAAGTATGTACTCCTATGTTTACTTTGAAACTATTTAATACCAATATATACTTCCAACAACGAAATAGTTAAAAGAAATAAGTATTACAAAAAAATCGGTGACTGAAACAAGTCATTTCAAATGAATTTTAGACAGCAATGTGCTGAATAACATAAAAGGTCACTAAGACACTGTCGATTTACAAAAAGAAATTTTTTTAAATATTTTTTTGCATGATGGTTCTATTATTTTTAGTTATTTTTGCACTTAAACAGTCGTAATAGATTTATGTGATATTGTTTTAGAAAATCTTTGATCTGTCAAACACTCAATCCAATATGAATTTTACAGAAGAAGTCTTGTCACTTAATGGTGAACCATTTTATAATTTTGTCGAACGACAGTGTGGCAATGTTGCTCGCAAGATTGTTCAAATACAAGATATCTCATCAGTCGATAGCCTTCTAGATATTGGTGATGTTTTAGCCTTCGTGCAGCTTGATTCAGAAGAACTTATTCCATTAAAGAAAAAAGCGGGAATCTTTCTTAATGATGGTCGATTTATTTTGAAAAAAGGATTAGTATACAAGGTTGAGAAATTTCTTAAAATTCTTCGTACTCTTAATCAAGAATATTTGACGTCTTTGGATCACCACAACTCGAATAATTCTTCTGATCTAATTGTACCGGAATATTTATTGAAGAAATTTCCATTTATTCAAACACTTATTGTGTATTCAAAACTTATTGTCGACTGCAAATATGACGTTACATTCGTAAACATTATATTGAATAATATGATTAGAAACTTAATAACTGAAGAGAAAGGTTTTCGTTATGAAACTATTGTTCGTCAATTTGCAACAAGTCTATACATACTTGGAGGTCGCACTGCTTACGAATTCGTACGCTTAAATATTCCTGCATTACTTCCAAGTGTACAAATTATTCAAGCCTATATTGCTGCTTCAGATAATCACCTAACCGACGGCTTGTTTAACTATGACGGGATTTTAAAATATTTTAATATGAACCAATCAACATTAGGGTTTGTCGCAGAAGATGCTACCGCAGTTGTTCCTAA